CATATAGGCATTGCTTTAACAAACATGACAGGCAGATGGAAGATAACGGGGCCGTCAAGACTCAACCTTGTTAACGTCTCCTGATTCCTTATCTGCAGCATATTAACTACAAAGGTCCCAAAGGAAAACTTCCAGAGCTGTGTTGCTCTTTAAACTGAGAAATGACTGTTCTGAAGAGGTAGTTCCTGATTCGAAAGTTATTTAGCTATTTATTGGAGTTATTATTATTAGCTTTTCTACCTGTCATTGATATGCACTTTTTGTTTAAAAATCAGTATGTGATTTATAGCCACATAGTGCCATTTTACACCACAATATATTAACTATATTATTTTCAGTTGGTATAAGTTGACACATTTAATTGACTTTTTATGCAACTTTTAAAGCAACTTTGCATTAAAAGTGTCATTATTTACGGAATGGCACTTCATGACTACAGTTATAAATATTAATAAAGAGTTCTTTATGTTCAATACTGGTGTTATGCCATATTTATGACAATGCCATGTCAGTCTTATGAACACCCCTTCAAATAAAGTGCTACCAAATGTGATATATGTCAGAAAGAAATTTGACTTTGTGATTTAACGTTTTGAAATCGAGTCTGTGTTTCTTTAAGAAACTCTTGGTCTTTTTGACACTCTGCCTTCCGGAAGTCTTCACAACACCGCTCCTCTATTAATCCATTTACAATGTTTTCACCAGCGATTCTCTGAGAAGTAGCTTGTATAATGAGCTCAGCACATGTGCAGTTCTACCAGGAGTTTGCTAAAAGCTGCTGGTGCTCTGCGAGGAGAAAGCTCAGAAGCTGCAGCTCTGAGGAGGAGCTTCGTCCTTGAAGGCAGGGCTCGGTCCTGCCAGTTATTTTGCACAGATGAATTAGTGCCACGGGAGATTAAAGGATTTCTCAAACATGCATGAAAGGATCAAATCAACAGTCCACACAGGTTTCTGATGAAGAAATAACATTATAACATAATGCAAAACACAAAAATGTGGATTTTACGTAACACCCCCTGTTTAATCTGCAGGCAAAACTCTCAGAATGTTCACGGTTTTTGAGATAAACCTGTATATTGCAAATGTTGAGTTCTGTGGTAGGTGATTTTAGCAGCAGTTGTTAAGTTTAAGTGATTATTGACCAGCCGTAGAAGATGTTTGAAAATATGTGTGGTTGTTTAAATGCATGAGCTTGAAAGGAGAGATTTATGGTCGCTGTCAAATGGAAAGAGCTGCTTTACAATATAAAAGTTGGATGTGCCTTAGTAAAAGCATCTGTGTATACTCAGTTTTAACATCCCTTTAATGCTGCCATGGCTACAATTTAGATGATGCAGCATGGTTGTGTTAAATCTGAGTTTGGATTGGATAGGAGTTGGCATCAAAATGTCCACAGTAGTATGTCTACATAGGAAATCTAATGCTGTAATGAAAAGTGTCGACTTTCAAATATATCACTTTTAACTTCAGCAAAAATTTTGACAGCATCATTAAACGGCAATTGAAATGCCAATTTTACTGATGACCTTTGTGTTCGTGAAGTTAAACCAACGAACCGTGCAAGCTCATGAGCAAGACATCACCTTTAGAATCAGGTAAGGAAGACAGAATATGCTACAGAGCATTAACTTTGGTTCTTGCAGAAGACGTATAAAATTAGGAAGCCAACCATGGCTAAATTGCAGTTTTATGGTGCATTAGGATCACCATCCAAGGAGAAAGAGGAATAACACTTTCCACTGGCAGAGAGGGAGCTGAGTTGCCATGAAGAGGCACAGAGCCAGAATCCTCCAGGGGATAAAACCACTGAGATAGATGAAGGTTGCAAACAACAGATAATGCAAAAATATTTCAGCGACCATAAATCTCTCCTTTCAAGCTCAGACGTGATAGGCCTATTACTTTGGAGACCAAGTCTCTGATAACACATGTGCCACTGCTCTAATATTTCCTTGCTATCTTCGGTAAACTTTTCCTGCTGTAGCAGTGGGATGAGAGAAATTACACATCATTGATTTCTTTCTTTTTTTATTTTTTTTATTATTATTATCCACAGAGGCCAAAGCTTTCCTAGCACGAGGAGGCGGGAGGTGAGTTTACTGCAAATGAGCAAAATGTCTGAGGTTGTTGAGAGTCAAGTGCTGAATTGAAACAACTTGAATGTCATTACCTTTGAGCATCATTTCATTTCGATTGTATTCCAGTACTTTTTTTAGACAGATGCATGAGACTTGAATTGATGGCTTTCTAATGGACGTCTGGCTGGTAACACAATTTGGAATACGGCACGGAACGCGGGGAGCTTGATTTGTGTTTTCATTGATTTATGAAGGGAGAGATTTTTAGTTGCAGTACTTCATGAAACAATTGGTTGCAACAAGACGGATGATCTGTCCTTTGTCTCTTCAATAAAGAATGTCAAAAAAATCCACTCCTTCCCAAGTAATAGCATTCAATTAAGAGACTAACAGCCAAGGGAGAGCTGAAGTGGGTGATTAGTCATTATTGAACTACAATGATGATTTCATCCTACATTACAATGGGACCACTACGGTTCTATTGTCTATTAATACTTGAAAAAGAGAAGGAAAAGATCCAATTATAAGCAATGGACAAAGAGACACAAAAAATGTGTAGAGCTGGCAGAAAAGTGATTAAGTTTCTGCTATATATCAACACAGGACAATATGCAAGGAAAGCTACTGAAACTCGGAAAACAGTGAAAGCAAGTATTTTAGACAAACACTGCAACATAGGAGGCACTATTTAATAAGGTGCTAAGTAATGTACAAGTAAGTAACTTACTGTTCACGATAAATAAATGTAGTTATTTAAGCTAAACAATTCTGCCTGTAAATAACTAACATATTTTTTTTTCCTCTCCAACTCTTGGAAAGTCGGTTTAGGTCTTCATGTCCAGTCTTGGAGAGCTATTGACCTGCAACATTCATCTGCATCCCTGCTTCAACACACCTGGATCCCCTCCTGAGCATGTCATTCAGCTCTGCAGCAGTCCAGTAACAGTTGAATCAATTGATTCAGGTATAGTGACAGTAGGATGCATCTATATTTTTGTAAAATTACTATATATATATATATATATTTCTACAAAAATGTGTGTCCACACAACAAGTTGCAGCGCCACAGAAAATGATGTGGAGAACGATCCAAAAAACACTGGATTATGTCATATCTGTTATTTGTGAGAATCGGGTGCATGTGGATAGAGAGAGATAGAGCTTCATTTTCATCATTTAAAAACAAATCTACGTCTCACATGGCCACATGGAAACATAAAGCCAGCGTTTTGAAATTTGTAAACTGGAAACCGATTTCAAAACTGATGATTTCTCATCTCCCAAGATGCTCAATCCATGTGGACCAACAGCCTAGATTTTGCAGACAGACCTAAAACCATCTCTGTGTAGACGGGGCCTAAAAGACTAGAGTTGGGGACCTATTGTTCAGGTCACTTCTATGTTGTTTCTGCAAAAAGCCATCACATATCTGTCACAAACAGTCCTTTTCAAGACACAAACTCCTTAAGGCGAAGTGAGCCTAGAAAGGAGTACACACTTCAAAATACAATGGATGTAAAGGGCTGAAGTGTGCCAAGACAGAAGAGATTACTGGACTTTAGCTCGGAATTGATGGATGAACGTTTTATTGATCACAGAAGGGAAATTTATTTACTTATACAGTGGCTTTGCAAAAGCATACCACTTGAATTTTTCCGTATTTTGTCTCATTACAACCACAACCATAAATATGTTTTTTTGGAATTTTATGTGAAAAACCAACACTAAGTGGTATGCAGTTGTGAATTGGGATAAAAGATTATACATGATACAAAACATATTGTACAAATAAAAAACTGAAAACTCTGGTGTGCAAACATATTAAGTTCCCCTGAGTCAGTACTTTGTGGGACCACCTTTTGCTGCAGTTGCAGTTGCAAGTCTTTTTAGGATACGTCTATACCGGCATTGCACATCTAGTGACTGAAAATTACCCATTCTTCTTTGTAAAACAGCTCAAGATCAGTCAGATTAAATGGAACACATTTGTGAACAGCAATTTTTCGAATCTTGCCACAGATTCCCGATTGAGTCCAAGTCTGGACTTCGACTGTGTCTGTATAACACATGAATATGTTTTGTTTTAAACTGCTCCATTAAAGCCCTCTCTTTATGTTTGGGGTGGTTGTTCAGTTGTTCTGTAGACTCCAAAGTTTTCTTCCAAGACTGCCCTGTATTTAGCTCCATTCTACTTTGACCATGCTTCCTATCCTTGCTGAAGAAAAGTAACCCCAGATCATGATGCTGCCACCACCATATTTGACAGTGGGGATGGTCTGTTCAGAATGATATGACATGTCACTCTTTTTGTATTTTGACCAAAAAAGTAACATTTTGGTTATTTGAAGGTAGAAATGTTTTTAAACATCATAGGCTGAAAAAAAAATAGTGTCCTCTAAATGACACAACCTACACTACTTGGAAACAGCTGAAAAAAGTAGACAGCTGCCAACCAATGTCCTCAGAATACAGATCTCTGACTTCAACTTGATTGTGAGACGGTGCCAGCAGAAAGTGCATTTTCGAAGGATACTGAAGCAAATGTCACTCCCTCTCAGCACCCAAGCAACATTCTGCAAATCTGTGGTTGAATGTAATAAAATTTAAATAAATATTTGTTTGGAGTATCTGTGATGAGTTGTTTCCAGTGCAATTTGGTTTTGTAAAATTATTGACAATTTATTAATGTCAATATTTCTGTCCATCTTGAACTTAATGTCAAAGAAATCACACAAGCACAAAACACCCAGCGTTTATGAGGACAATTTTATCTTCTGTCGTTTCAAAATCCACAGTCTATCACATCCCCGTAATTTTTTTTCTTAGGCATAATTAGGAACATGCAGCTCCGTATGGGGTGGCTGCCTGAGATCCTGCTGATGAACATGAAGGGGGAAAAAATAGATGTGAGGTAAGTTGTACCTTTTGTCGTCTCTGTACCATTCAAACTCCGGTGTGGGCACGGCGGCGGCCTCACACTGCAGGGTTCCCAGGCGGCCCACTGGAGGCTCTGAGCTCTGGGTTTTCCTTATTGACGGAGGATCTGCAAAGACACAGACCAAGAAATCACATTTACCCGTAGCATTTAATTTTATCTGAAAGAAAAACTTGCCACAATTAAAATTATTTTTTAAAGTTTTTTATTAAAATGTGTAGGTTTTAACATAGTATATTATTTTAGAGTAGCATATTACTCCTAATAATCTAGTGAATATTAACCAACATCAAAGGCATTTCATTAAGAACTCAGTGATGGAGTCAGAGACTCCTTTCTTATAGAAAAAGACTTTTAGTTCATTTCCATCGTAAAAAGTGGACACAAGATCAAGTGCACTTTATGAGATTTTTTAGCAGACTTTTCTTGAAAGCTCATATCAAGTTTTAACCCATCAGTACCACACAGTACTTTGCTAAAGCAAAGGAGATTGTTAAGGTTTTGACATAACAAATGGACCTTTGACAAAACGTCCCATTTTAACAGGTAGATTAGTATTCATCGCGCACATATCTTTACAAACAATTGCCAGCAAAGCTTTCCAAATGGATTTATGCCCATCTTCCATTTAAGATTAAATTCCAAAAGAAAGCTTAATATACACTGAAATGTTCTCCTATCTGGCACTCAGACCTGGTGTGAGTACGACTTGGGCAAACAGCCACATGTGATTTGTTCAGATCAAAGGGAATTTTTGAATACCATGAGGAGTAATTAGTTTAGTGACGCCTCATGAGCCGTCTATCAAACCCCGAAGAGCTAGAATCCGTAATAATATGGACCACTGAAAGGAGGTAATTATCCTCTTTTTGAAATTCTAAGTGTCTATTTAAATGACGATGTGGTGGGTGAGACCTGCCATAGAAGTAATAGCGGCAATCAGTGCAAGGCATCTCTTCCTTTTTTTTTCCACCTGGTTTCATTTTGGGAACGACAGGGGAGTGCTCCAGAACTTTGAAGACATCTCTAGTTCTTGCTTAGCTTTACATTGCATCAATTCTCTATAAAATTCAATAATAAATGTGGAAAAAAATATTCATGAGCATTCACAGAAGGCATTTAAACGTGCAGCGGCATCTTGCTACTTACAGTTGACAACAACGTTGACATATTTGACATCAGGCGTGGCGACATCGTTGCTGGCTTTGCATTCATAACGACCTGCTTGGTTTCTCATGATGCCTATAATGTCCAGGTACTCCTCTCCATCCAGCGGCTCGGCTGTGGAAAGATGGAATCGATGAGTGACAGAACAAGACAAGGAGGAAACTTGAGAATTAATTGAAGTAAAAGAAAAAAAAACAAGTATATAAATGGCAACACCTTCGAAACATGTCCATGTATGACCTTTATGACTCATGTAAAGATGTGTTTTTGACTAAACTAAACTACAGAACAAGAGGAAATATCATGCGAAAGAATGACTGGCAGAACAATATTTGTAAAATAAATGTTAAACCAGGATTTGTAAATGTTCTTCAGCTTTTGCTTAACAGCAATATGTCTTTCTCTATAATCAAAAATTCTTCATAGTTTTGAGATGTTTAGATCAGAAGTAGTGGGAAAACAAATTTTGAAAAAAAAAAAATCAACCAACCAAACATTATTTATAGAGCACACCTAAGTAACTCAAAACCATTCAAACTGTTGACATCCAGATGCTAAGAAGACAACAAAAACATAAAAAGCTCAGTTTCCTCAGGTTTCAGAGTCTATAGGAACATCCAGAAACAACCGGAGTTCTGAGCACAAACTTATTTTGCCAACATGTTCGTGGTTAAGCTCCACAGGGAGGCCTCAGCAAGGAGCCCATTAATCAGATAAGCAGCCAAGAGGTTCAAGATTAGAGGAGCTACAAACATCATTAGACTAGGTGGGTAAAATATGTTGACAGGATAACTTTTTATTCACTTCACAAACCGGTGGAAAACTAACAGAGCAAATGAACAAACATCCCCACTGGTAGCATCATGGCGTGGTAATGTTTTTCTTTAGCAAGGACAGGAAAGCTCATCAGAGAAGATGGATGTAACCGAGTGCAAGTGTGAAAAGTATGAGACAATGAATTACATAGAACAAGAGATTCCCTCGTTTTAGTTATGTTAGAATGGACCAGTGAAAGTCCAGACAAACAGAATTTAATCAGTTGCAATACTTGAAAAAGTATTTTAAGCAGATCTTAATCCGATTTAACTGAGCTGGAGCAAAATCTGAAGTCTTAAAATCTGCAAATATGGTACAGACACAACAGCAGGTCTGTGACTGTAAGTAGAGGAAAAGGTGATTCTTTCAAGATTTGACAAAAAACAAAAAAAAAGCTTGAGCTCTATATACCCTTTTCCAAACTTCTTAGTCATGGTAATAGTAAAGAATCCCTCTGTGTTCTTAAAATGACAAAATGTGAAATTGTTCAATGAGCATGACTACTTTTGATAGCATCTTTAAGATGGAGATTTAGATGGTTTAAAACAATGAAACTCAAGTTTTTTCAGGGTGACTTCAGTAAAAGGTGATAATTTCACAGTTTGTGGTGAGATCAGACAGGATGGCGTCAGCATAAAGATGTCAAATTGTTTTGTGCACATGATGGAGGACAGCACTCTTGATCAATGACGTAGTCTTGTCTCTCTTTTGTTATGATACTCATGGCACACACATCAAGCCACTAAAGCGTTGGTCTGAAAAATAAAAAGGTTCTACGGAAAGGGTGAAACATCCACACACACACACATACACCATGACAGTCACTAGATGTATGCGAAGTTGATATGCTGGAGAGGTTTATTGATTTCTCATAGCTGAATAAAGCTCATAGCTAAACTGCACACATTCATGTCATTTCACTCGAGTAGCGATTCAGATTCATTCAGCTGATATTGAAAGTCTTGACTGAAGGTCTTCAACCACTTATAGCTGATTTTTTAATAGCTTCTTTGTAGTAAATTATCAAAATGTGGAGATTTGCAAAAGTCAGACAGAAGGGCACAGAGGGCAAAGTAAACCAGAGCTACTGCAGTAAGAAATCTGAGTGCTTGTTTCATGTTCAATCCAGCTAATTACCCACTTTATGCACAGTGGTTCTGCTTCCTTGACATTTGATTAAAAAAATTCAGTGTCATAAAGTCAACCTTTAAAGAAAAATCTGATTCTAATAAGACTGTATTTCTTCCAAAGCTGTGACATATTAGAGATAGGTAGGTGGGTCAGAAGGCTTAGATTGCCATGTAAACTGCACTCAATGAAAGATCTTGAAACATAAAAATAGTGTTCAACATTAAGACCTCATCATATCATTATTTGTGATATGACAATCTGTCAACATTTTAATGAGATCTGGTAAAAACTCTACTTGTGATCTAAATCCATTCTGGATATTTTTCAACCTGTCAGAAAATAGATTTTTCTTTTTTACAATTGCTAAGGCTTAGTAAGTAATAATCTCGTTGCGATCCATGTACAGCAGTGTAGATCTCATGGTGTTTCTCAGAAGATACAATTATCTGCATAGAGATAGGAGATGGTCTCCAAGGAGCCAGGGAATTTAATACTGGCCATAATACCGACTGATACTTCTCTTAATCCAAGAAAATAAGAAAGGAAGAAAATTACACTATGAAATGATTTGATTTAGGATTTATCAAAGCTGTAAAACTATATTGCCAGAGCAGTACAGAAGGAATGAGTTTTCTTTAAGGAGGTGAAATAACCACAAACAAAAGGCAAAAAAAGTAAAAAAGCTTCATCTCAATGGACACTAATACTCTGATTTTGGCTGCGTTAGTCCATCAAACTCATAAAACACCCCTATAACGACAACCCTAAAATGTCAGTCAGCTTGACTTTTCTACATGCCTTCAGATAATATCTCTAAAATAAGGCGCTGCCTTAGGGCTGAAGCAGCAAAAAAATCTAAGCTTAATGATAAAATGGCGGTCAGCTGATAAAATATCATTTCATGCTGATTGAAAGATCAGCAGGATCAGGATCAAAGTTTGCAGCACATCAGTCACCTTTCTCTGGATGAACTGTCAGACTAACATGATCGGGGACGTTAAATTGAAAATCTGTTGCCATGGAAATTCTATTGAAGTCCAATCTCGTCTTCAGCACTTTAGCTCGGTGCTGGATAAAGAACGGGAAAGGACCAGGTGACCACCAAGATCAAAGCACAGAAATGGAGAAGACAGGGAGGGAAGATAATCTAAATCAGAAACGATGAGAAAGTTGGAAAGAATTTAAAAAAAAAAAGCGATATGTTTACTCTTAGTAACTTAGTTTGCAAAGAGAGAGAATTATCAATCATGACATAGGTGTAACGTCCAAGGAAACAATCGGTTACTAAATTTCAACTGTGTTTTCTTTTCCCACCAGGGAATACAACTGCCTGACACACATAATCAATGCCTAAATGTGTCTTTCTAATTAAGAGTAATGAAGATAGATTGCTTAATCTTGTCTGTAAGGGAGCCGATTTGAGTGTGTGTACAGCACCGATAATACACATACATGTCTATGCTGAGTGAGGAGGAGTGTGGTGAGCACACAGAGCTTTCATGCATGAGCTGATGTGAAGGCAAATTTCCTTGCAGTTTTGCATGAAGCACCGAATGTAGCTGCTGGTTCAAAGTACGCACATTAAACCCCCCTCCCATGAATCCTGCTCTTGCACCATATGTCACGTTACATCGTCACATTTCCATGCTAAACAGGGTGGAGAAAAGTGAGTAGGTGTCACAAAAAAGAAGAACACGTTATGGAGAGAGGAGTAAAAAGATTGGTTTTTGGTCCATATGGTCCTCCAAAAGAGGCAGACCACACCACTAATTATCTGCTTATGCTAATGTTAACCAGCTGTAAACAGTATTCATACCACTTGAACTTTTCATATTTGTTACATTATAACCAAAAAATTTACACTTATTTTGTATTTTATTTTGTGACAGACCAGTGCTATCAAGTCTAAAATATATATATATATATATATATATATATATATATATATATATATATATATATATATATATATAT